GAGTAGAGTTATATTTCATTGACATGTAAAGTAAAAGAACCATAAAACAATGCTAAGAATATAGCCGCATTTATGAAATTGTATGTCTGAGTGTGTTTATATTGGCATATTAAAAAAACTGGGAAGAAATATTCCAAATTGCTAACGGTAATTATTTCTTGGTGGTAGGCTTACAGCTTATGGGTGATTTTCTTTTTATACATTTATGTATTACCTTTTTTCTCCCCCCTCAGAGTTTCAAATGTGAAAAAAGCTTTTAAGAGAGAAAATTTAACTGTATTGGTGAATATTGATTTGATTTAAAGCAGAATATCTTTAGTGTGACAGACCTCATTTATACTGCAAGCAAATTAATTATAAAGGATACTTCCCAAATGTGGACTGATAGTTCAGATGGCATGATTTCCTCTTTGGCTAGTGCTGAATTACCAAATAATCAAAGTATGTGCCTAGGGCATTAGCAAAGAAAGGGAGATGCCAAAAAATTTGAATGTTTTGTAGAAAAGCATTTAATTTTTGACATTTTAGAGGGGTGTAAAAGTATTTGTCCAGGAAAAATATCAGAGAATTGTTGAACTGGTGTAAATTTATGTATCATCTACTATCGTTTTTATTTTTGAGAACATGTAGGTGGAGAGATGCGTGGGACACGTAGGCAGAAGGAAGAGCTAAGTTTTCTCAAGGTCCAGGACTAGAGGGATCTTAATTTTGTCTTAAGCAGAGAAAAAAATTACACCTCCCAACCTGTACATCATTAAAATCAAAAACAATACTTAGCCAGAAAATAAGTGCACATCAGTCCAACAAAGTTCTGACTTTTCCCCAAACGTTTCCATGCTCTTTCAGAGTATCAAGAATGCCAGGTTTTCTCCAAGACAATTTTTGTGTACCACTTTTCTTGGCCAATACCCTAAGCATATGTTTAGTCTATATGGCAATTCAATAAGACCAAGAAGCAAGTCATAGCACCTGGAACACTCAAATAAAAATCTAAATAAAAATGGGCCATATTTAATGCAGATTCACTATATTTGATATTTTAAAATTCAAATTAGCAAGAAAATTTGTTAAGTTTTCCAAAAAGGCAGATTTGGGCTCACAGATTCAGAATCCAGGTCCAGTTAGCCCATTTACCAATCCTAAGCAAGCCTAACCTCTCTGAGCGTATTTTCACTTATTTAAAAGAATTATGATGATACTAGCTTTACTGGCATGATATAATTTGCGGGAACAGAAGATGAAAAATGAAGAATGTAAAATGGCTTTGAGAACTATGAAAGATTATATCAGTATAAGGTGTAATGATGGCACCAATTACAACTATACTGTTTTTGTCATTCACTATTTCATGTGTGTATTAGATATCCTCCAAGAAAATTTTATGTTCTAGCAATATGCAAATTGCACTAGTCATATAAAAGCTCTACAAAGAGTTGTTTTTCAATTAATTGATTCATTTTGCTTGAAAACACATTTTCACTTGGTAGAATAATATTTAGGATATGCAAACAGGGGGAATTGTAACTGACCTCCAGAGTAACCTCCCAGTATATAAATCTAGTTTATTTGTTTCAGTAAAAACCAATTGCTGAGTTATTTCATGTTGAAACTTCCATGATGAATTTGGTTTTCTTTTAGGCTCCAATCATAGAATCTTTTTATAAACCCATGAGAAATGTAGAAAACTGTTTGACTCTTCAGATATATTCTAAGACATCCTGACAGAGATTTGAAGCATGTACATAAATTGACATACGTTCTAAAGTCACTTGAAGAAATAAGGAATGTATCACAAAATAAGAAATTAGATAATATGTGTTTTACTCAATTAAAGCAAGTTTTACTTGAAGTTTAAATACCACCCAATATATTTAGTATTTCAATAAGAATGGCATTTTTCAAGATAGTGTTTGAGAAAAAGGTGATTAATAAAATTTGTCGTTAAACAGCACATTAAACAATAACGTCAACTTATCTTTCCCTTTTTTTTTTCTGCTGTCAACTTGATGGTTCTTGAACTATTTTGTATCTAGGCACCACTAAACCCCATTTCACTTTTCAAAATTAACCATTAAAAAGAGAATCATTTTAATATAGCTATTAGGCATCACATTCCATAAAGTTGCTGAAAAAGGACTTATAAAGAGGCCAATGTTCAGGTCCCTGCGTCCTAACAAGATGACATATAAATTTCTCCAAGAAGATGGTCAACTTATTTCTTTGAAAATATCCAGATTTTGTAATTTAGAAGCCCATTACAAAATGGAGTCTTACTGTTATAGGTCGAGAAGTACCTGCTATTAAACAACTAAAGCACACTCTTACTTTAGAAGAAGCCAGAGAAGTTTTGAGAAAGAATTTAGTCCAGCCCCAAAAAACTGCATGTCTAGGTCATACTTTTTGGAGGTTTTGATGAAAGAAGAAATGCACTACTTTACCTGGTTACCCAGGTCACGACTCGAATGTGCTATCAGGATGTCCTACAATTTCTATTTCTAATCTTCATTCTTTCTAAAGAAATTGAACCCCACTGACCATATTTTAGGCTCCAAAAAATAGCAATAAACAGCACCCTATGTAAAAGCCCTCAGCTCTTCCGAAGCAAATGACTGTCGCCTCTCAGCTCTCCCTTCCCAAATGAAGTGATCCCACGTTCCTTTCCCTTCTTAGAAAGTTCAACTTGTCATCCTTTAAACATACTTGACTTTTCCGTGGTCCCTCCACAAAGGCTTTCTAATTGTCTCAGGTTGTGGGGCCTAAATACGGACCTGTGTTCCCATCAGGGTCTGGCCACACAGCTGTAGCATGCTACTGACAGTCAGTTCTGCACCCACGGCCCACAGTGGTTCTGACTCTGCCCCAACTCTACCAACTGCACCTGCAAAACCACAATCCAATGAGAACTCAACACAAAGGAAATACAACAGAGCCCAACAGACCCGTTTTCACTGTGTGAAACTGTATCAACTACAACATGTCTTAATTTTTTAAAGCTTTACTGGAGATAAATAGGAAACTTTGATTTTTTGCAAGTCCAAAGATTGTGTCGTTTTTTGGAAGTCATTAAAAGATTCAGGACACAGTGTGTTATAAAAATTTTGATACGACATACAAGCCTAGTATCTCTTCCCTTGCTCTACTTTATTCAGTTATTATAATTAGGCACACAGTAGCATGACTTAAGAGTTGTGAATCTATATAACATGTCATGAGCATATTAAATCCATTCTTCCCATTAAGTTGCTGAAGAACCTTCCCGTATATAACCAAATAGGACATTTATTCTCAGAGAAATTAAACTATTAACTTGATTCAAATACTTGTAAAAAATGTTAATGAAGGGAGACAGTGTAAAAAAAATGCAAGATTAAAACAAAAAAATACTGTTTTTACGTTGTAAAAACGTTTGCACTAACAATGATGCTGTTAGGAAAGAGATTGATGGATAAAACTAGTCCATATGATGAATGTAATATCACTAACACTTTTACCTGCAAGGATTTTTCTGGCTTTAATTCAATGAAATCCATTATCCTGGATGGTAATGGAGCGCTGCACCTACTCATCTCAGGCATCTTTAAGTCTCCTGAGCTGCCTAAAAGCCTTGACATAATGAAAGGTTAAGCCGATCCCAGTAAGCATTTGTAAACTACAACAGCCCCCCATTTCGGCTACAAGCCACACGTTCTCGTGCTAAGCTTTGCTCACTCCCATTTCATGTCATTGTATAAGCAGGCTAATTTGGAGATGGATAGGGTACTGAGGGACACCTAGATTTTCCAAACAATCCCACTTTTCTTACTTAGCCACCTAAATAAGTAGACCTACAACACATTTGAGAGAACTGTAAAATGGTGCCTGGATACTGAAGAAATGACCAGCAAATAGCAGCACTATTAAATAAAATGAATGCATTTCACCTTCCAGCTTCCTGGGACGCGAGACACAAACATGAAAGGGGCTGGGGTAGGATTTGAAGAAAACTGATTCACTTTGAACATTCATTTGGCAAGACGCTAGACACAAAATAACAGCCACAAGCCACCTCCCTTTCCCATCACTGTAAATTCAGGGCTCTCAAATCACCCCCCACAAACCCAATTAAAAATAAAGAAAAGAGGCAGGCTATGAATTTGCATCTCATGCTATGATACAGTTTAAATGATAGGCATCTGTCCTAATTGGTCACAATGAAACTAAAGGACAATAACAAGAATAAATCTCACATTAATCCAAATGAAGCCAATGAATAATAACACAAACCAGAAGCATAGTTTCAAAAATATGCAATTACCTCCAAGCATGCAGGGCATTTGTAACCCATAAAAATGATTGCAAAGCACGCCCTGCACATAAATATTTTCATAAATGCACTAGAAATGCTAAGTAATGTGTATATATGATATACATATCCATAGGGTATGTATACATTTGTATGTTCACAATCGAACCTATGAACTAAAATTGAAACCCTCTCTGGAAATGGTTTCTCAACCAGAGCATATTAGAATGTGAAATAGAATATGCTAAATTCCAGGGCCACCTTTTCTTAGTAATGAAGCAAATAAGCAAAATCACCTTATAATTAGGCCAAGAAGCTTAAGAGGCACCAAATGTGTTTTTGAGCAAGGCCCAGCCCTATTTGTGAGAGCTGCAAATGAAATGATTCCTTTCAATAACACCCATTTCTTGTTAGCTTTTTCCACCCCCGGATTTCTAAGCTTGCAGGGAAAGCACCCAAGTGGCTCAGTCTGCACTCTGAGCCAGTTCAAGATAAAATAAGAACACCATATATATATATATTTTTTTTTAACACAAGCGGGTGCTATCTTACTTCTCTGTGCCAGGCAACCTTCCCGTCTCTCCATCCCCATCTCTGCCTCCACATCTTCCTCTCGTACCCTGAGGGGTCATTGTTCAAGGGCCGGCCGCAAATGCACGCACAGGTCATTTTAGCAGCCGGCTGAACCGAGAGGACAGCCCCGCCGCTTCCTACTCACCGTGCTGAGACCCGGGGAAGCTGCTGCGCGGAGGGAGAGATGCGAGCTGAATCCATTTTCCTCGCGACCCAGTCGGATGCAGCCTCCAAGCCCAGCATCAGCAGCGGCGGCTGGGATTCTCCGCCCCCGTCTCCCGACAGCGCGAAGAGGCACCACCCTCCCGGGCCCGCTCGAGCGCCGGCCGCTGGACGGCAGGAGCGGCAGCCCCGCCGCTGGGCCTGCTCCCCCCCCGCGAGGCCGGGCGAGCTCCGCAGCCGCCGGGAACGCGCGGCGGACGCCTCTCGGGCTCCGGCTCTCCGGCCCCCTCCCCCGGCCCCACCCCTGCTGCGGTACAGGCCGCCCGCGGCAGCTGCTGGGCGTCATGGCAACGGCCAATGGGGAGCGGCCAGCCCGAGGGGGCGGGGAGACGGGCGAGCCCAGCCGCAGGGCTGCAGGGGGTGGCCGCGCGCTGCTGCGCTGGGGATGCTCTCGGGCTCTGCAGCTCCGCACGCCCGGTCTGGAGAAGCGCGGCCAGGTCGTGCCGGCGCGGGAAGAGAATCATCTACACGTAATCCAAGTCTAGACGGAAACATCCAAACCCGCTTAGCTATATTTTTGCATTTTCAGTGGTTTTCCAATAAAATGTATTGAATTTATCAGAAAAAAAAAACACACATTGAAAATTATACCGTGTAAAAGGAGACCATAATTTCTCCGCATATGTTTGCCCTTTATAGCGTCTTTTACTCAATTGCCTCTCAAGGTTGTTAAAAAGCAAGGTAAGTGGCTGGACCTTGCGGTAAAGTAAGAGTGGCTGATTCCTCCGCACCACCCTCTTCTTGTTCTTCTCAGGTGAGTCCCTTGATCACACAGTTTTCCCGACTTTCCCTCTCAAGAGGACTCGGAGTTATTTGGGACTCCCCTGTGGAAAAGGAGGTTGGAACAGAGAAAACAGAAATTCCTTAAGCAACCACCGTTCTCAGTAACACTAGGATGGTTCTAAACCTTTTTAGTTCAGAGTCTAACTCCTGGAGTGTCCAATTTCCTGCAGGAGATCCCGTGCCATTTTCACAAGATGCCCTTTTGGAGTTGCCAAGCCAGCTGGTAGTCAGGTTGGTAGGTAAATGAACTGCAATCAGCAGCATTAAGTTCTAGGTGAGTTCTGTTTTTAACTATGAATTATAGATGACACTAGTATTTATCTCATGCCCAAGTTGTAAAGATTGAATGAGACAATGTACTAAAAGCATTTGGCATGTAGTAAGAGTACATAAATATTTACTATTAGGCCCAGTAATAGTAACACATTGTAGATGCCTCTGAGTCCAAGAGATTAAGGGGAGTATAAGGCAATTTCAGACAAGAGTAAATATTAAGGTGAGAAAAACAATAGGTGATAGTTGTGATAGTAATAATAATGTGATGATGATGGCAAAGACCAGCAGGCCTGAGAGAGTAAAAGTTCTCTAAATGTGACAGCTGAGGATGTCTAAACCTTAAAGAAGTTAGATAAATTTACCAAAGTCACATAGCTAATAAATGGCAGAGCCAGAATTAAAAGTCTGACCCTTGGAACACTAGCATTTGCTCTCCTAACCATTACAGATTTCTACCGCTCCCCCATGGGACAGAGACAGCCTGGTTCTTGACCCGTATGGTTATTCACAGGTTCGAATGGGATTAATCCACGTTTTGGAGTCTCCGTTTCTGGCCAGTATTTACTATAGATATGATTTGGGAAATACTGACTCACTTCTTTAAACCTATGGTTTTGGAAACAGGCAGTTGACGGAAGAGAGAGATGCCACTCATCCTCAGTGCCTGGCGTTGCCTCTCGTCCTCTGCAAAGGGGAGCCCGCATCCTGCCGCCAGGGGCCCCTGCCTCCGCCAGAGCCTGAGCAGTCTGTCCACACTTTGACACCAGTATCGGCTAAATGCAGCTGTGTGACAGAAAGGAATGGGTTGTGATGAGCAGGCTTCTTTCATACTCGCATTTCATCTTCTGCTGTTTCCACAGACATGGTCTGGTAAGTAATCAGAGAAGAAAGCAGCAGGCTCCCAGAAGCTCCGATGTGTCTGGGTGACAGAACCCGCCCTGCCAGCCTGGGGGGGGGGGGCACCTTGTCATCAGTGCCGAGAGCTGACTTGGTTGGGGTGAGTGACTTTAGTTTTCTCTCCTCCCATCAATACACAAATAGAATCAACTGAGGGAGACAACAGTGTTTGGTGTTCCCTGTTTGAACAATTCCACAATTTAGACACAGAAGTGCTACTCTGGCATTTTTTGCCATATCCATGAAGCACTGTTATGATCATTAAATGTTTCATTTAAATATTTAATTGCTTAGTGTTTACTTTATTTACTTTAAAATGAAATTTGTCTCTGGTTTCAACATAACATAAATAAAAATAGGCATGGTAAAGAGAGTGTCACCAGAGAAAGGAATTTAAAGTAAAACCAGAGAAAGGAATTTAAAGTAAAATCATACTTTTTAAATCAAATATTCTTCAAACTAACTTGTAATAACTTTTAATTTAAAAATTGTATCCCTTTTCTCCATTGTTATCCCTACTCTTGCCATTGTCTATATTTCCATAGTTTTTATCTTCTAATATACTATATTATTTATTTGAGCTTTCAAACTTTTTATCTGTTTCTCCCCCCTTAGAATGCAAGCTATGAAAAGGCAAGAATTTTTCTTTGACTATTTGTGAACAATCCCTGACCCATAATAGGTGTTCACTAAATATGTGTTGAAAGAATAAGCCAGTAAGTAAATAAAATAGCAACAATTTCTGTTTGAATCGTGCACACTAAGTTATTATTATAATATTATTTGTCCAGTTATATATTTTGATATGTCTCAAAATTAAAAACTAAGATAATTATATTAATTATCTAATTACCATAATGCATATTGGCATGATGTGTACCTAATACATATTTTAAATATATTTTAAATATGTTTTAAACATAGCTATTAAAATGGAAATATTTGTCCAAACGTATTCAAAGTCATCTAGCATATTGCTGGTAGTATGGATGCTGTCTGTTGGGAATTACTAATTTTGCTCTAAGACTGTCTTGTCCAGTAGTACCAGCAAACTGTCTGCCTGTCCCGGACCTTTTCAACTCTGACTTCTGAATTCTGTGAGATGGCTGAAAAAGTATAAGGTGTGGGTCTCGGCTCCAAAAGTGGCATTAAATTTTCAGGAGAAACCCCAGCACAGTGGGGGGAAGCTGCCAAGTAGGGGCTCTGGAGACCGCCTGGACCGAGCCCACGATTCACTGTTTGTGTTCTGAGTGACTGCGGACAAGTTGGGCGATTTCCCTGTGTCTCAGTTTCTTCATTATGTGATGTAAGAGCAGTACCTACTTCATTGGATTGTTGTAAAGATCAAAGTCCATGTGTGCAAAGAGCTAACAAGTATCTGGCCTGTAATAAATGTCTAATGTTAGCTAATATCATTATGAGTATATTTTTTGGTAACTGTGATTACGCACTGCAAATTTTCTGGATGCTTCCAAGACACTGATGTCACTCAGGGCTGTTCTAGGAACTTGCTGTGATGGCTGCAGACCAGCTTTCAGCAGACTGTGAGGATAATCTGGAGATGTTCATCTCAGAGGAAGGCCAATGTCCTGATTTCCCCCTTAAAAGGGGTAAAAAGTGAGGAGTCACGATCAGGACTGGCTGTTTATTTCCTGTCCGTTCTAGGTTAATGACATATTGTATATTTGCAGAGTACATTCAGTCTAAGCAGTCAGGATCTTCCCGAGTTTGTTAACAATAAGGGGATCATTCTGACCCCCCCAAATGTAAGCCGATGTATCAGAAGAACCCTCCCGTGAACGGCCCCCTCCTACGGCCAGTCATTGTGTGGATGACTGCACAGCAATGGGACACTCTTGCCGTCGCTCACCCTGTTTCCTGCAGAAGTCCCGTCCCTGCCCCAAGTCTCCAACCTTCGAGATTTATCCACCAGCTCCTCCAGTGATGACAGCAGGATCAGCGCTAGAAGTGGCGTCCCCACTGTCTGCTCTCACGTCTTCGGTACTACACTCAGGATGTTGAATGGCAAATATTTTTTTTCCTTTGTCCTTCTTTCCTTGTCTTTCTTTCCTGTTTGGTTGGAAGCATATTGAGGAAGCATAGTATTCATTCATTCATTTATTGATACCTTAATCCAACAAATACTTACTGCCAGCTGCTGCTGTGTGCCAGGCGCTTAGAACTCAGCTGTGACTAAGATACCGTGAGCACTGTCCTCATGGGGATCATAGTTTAAAAGGAAAGGGCGATGTATGTTCACATTAAAGCAGCCCGACTGAACTGTGTTGCAGGCTGCAACAGGTAACTGAAGAGGCTCTGAGAGCATAGAAAGGGAAGATATAACTGAGTTTAGGAGCCCAAGGAAAAAATTACTGGAGGGGTTGTGGGGTGGGGTAGGAGGCGGGTGGTTTCAAAGGGAGAAAATGTACACAGGTGCTGAGATGTGAGGAGCAACGCGTGTTACTCAGAGTTTGTTTGATGCTAGCCTAGCACAGTGCCTGTGTGCAAATGACGTGCCACTTACACATTGTGGACAGAATCTGCCTCCTTCCCTACTCACACACATGAACACACAACTTCTTTCCTCCGTGCTTCCCTTCTGTTGATGTTTTTGGGGAATTAGAGTTTGTCAATAGCTTAAGGTCAAATAGGGTTTGGTAGGCTGTGTGGGATGAAAGGAAATGAAAGAGGCCAAAAGATTAATTGTTCTTATGTAGAAAAAAGAGGTAATGCTATCAGTGACCAGTACTACGGTACAGGTTTATTAAGTAAGATTTACATGATGATACGAACCTTTGCTCTGATGGTGGAACCGGAAGCAGCTTCCCCTGTCAGGTCCTGGGCAGCTGCGTATCGCCCAATGGCAGACAACACATGGGCTTAGGTGACCAGCAAATCAGGGACATCAAAGAAGTGACCTTTCCCAAAATTTCACAATCAGGAAATCTACAAATAAGCTACTTTAATGTCAGCATATATGCAAGTTTTATTTTAATTTTGGTATAATTTTACATTCAGTTGTGTACGGGAGGCATCATAACGTTCATAATTTTTACAGTGCGTAGGAACTCAAAACATCTTCATACATCCACCAGCACCGAGAGTTGAGAACACGAGCCGGATCATAAAAGAAGCACTAACTTCTCAGTGAATAAAACAGACTTCCTGTCCTGGTGGGCTTGCA